GAATCGTCTTCTTCAGAAGACGATTCAGTCGAAACGTTGACCAATAAAGTGGTTCAGCCATAACAAACCTGTACGGCAAAGCAGTATTAAACATTATGTAAAATGCCCACGTTTCAAGAAGAACGAACATGGAAGTAGTCTGGAAACAATTAAGCGGCTAGGGACGATGAAAGCCACTGTTTGGATAAGCGGATATCGATCCGCGATTTGATCTCTGAAGTATACGTGCCTTCATTGTCAATGCCCCCACCTATACCCTGTATAAAAGTGGGTTGTCAGACTATGTGATAATTTTTCTTAGGTCGTATGTGAATAGACACTGTGCTCCTCATTTCCATCCCAGTTTGCCCATGTTTCTTAGGCGTTCGGCAGGTTTCAAAGAAACGTAAATTTCATTACAAAGTACAGCTTCAAATTGTTTGTGGAAAATTCGGTGATGTTTGGATGCAGATGGGATTGTTGTAGGTGGGCTCATTAGCGCAATTCGCTCAACAGCCCCGTCCTAATCGAAACGCTAAGACCTTGAAGATGCTAAGTGGCAGTCATCATACATATTGTAACAAGAGTGCGTGAAACGGTTCGGATGAATTCGATTTCCATCCGCTAGAGGGCAACGAGTGAACTGCTCGTTCATGGTTAGGGGTTGGTAAAAGGATTAAGTATAAAGTCTCTATTGCGTCAATCCGGTTCTAGGGATGCGCCCCGCATTCGATTACATCCAGAATCGTAGTGACGAATTGTTTGCTTGTGTGACCTATACAACGACTTGTGGTGGACAGTCGAAGTAAAATTCAGTGTTTTTAAACTCCCAGGCGAATCTGGTACCTATTAACCGACCCCAGAGGGATGGAATGGCCGATTGGCATAGGCGAGTACCAATTCGGAATTTGATCCAAGTACGATGCCTGTGTGATAGAGCACATCTGCCGCAACACCACCTGCGCTCGATTGATAATACAGCAGCTTCGCTTGAAATGGACGGTTTTTGCTTGCAAATTCACTTTACTTGTTGGATCAGGAGAGAGTTGGAAAATACCAGAGTACCTCATTGTCAGAGGAAGTTAACTGCAATTACAATCAAGCCATTTTCTGCATCATGGCTTTAATGACATGAACGGAAGAGGGGTCCTGGACAATAATATCCGTGTACATACGCAAGGTGGCTGCCATCTGAGCCTGAACGATGCCGTCAAATCAGCTTGCGGAAGGGAACTGTTACATCATAGCGGGTGATCTGAATGGCCACACTGGCCCAGAACGAGGAGTTCAGAAAGAGTTCACAAAATTGGAGTAGTAGGAGTCATGGCCGAAGAAGAGAGGGTCCTCGTTCTGGCTATAACCCACGACCTAGCAACTTGCAGCACATTATTTTCTTCGCAAGAAGAGAGACATGGAAAGTTATATGCAGCAGTGGAAGGAAACAAACGGAAGTCGACCATGTGTTCATAAGAAGATCATTTCTTGACAATGTAAAGACTATCGAAAGTGACTGACAAATAATCGGGGCCCAAAACATGGGGCGAAGCGCGTGGTGGACCTGGAGGAGTCAAGAAAGCGTGGCTCGAGAATGATTAAGTTCAAGAAGCTGTGAGGGAGAAGAAAGCCGCATGTAAGCGCCGGGAAATGACACCATCTCTAGCAAAAGGTAGTTGTCTGACGATGCGATGCTCGCTAAGGAAATGCATAGAATGCGGAAATAAACACTTTATACTAGAAGCTCGAAGGTTGAGAAGGATAGAAAGAAGTTCTTCTTCCGACCAGATGTTATCATCTATCTGTCTGTGCCTTAGACCGCCATCCGACTACCCAGGGCATCCGATTAGTGAAATCCATAACAGTTGCGGCAAAAGCACTTCGGTGGTCTCAAACGAAGAAGCCCACCGTGAAAGCAGCTTCCAGGTAGAGGTGATGATCGGATTGCGGGGCAGTGATTGAAGTTCTCCGAGCAGTAACACCTGTATCATCTGTCGTCCCGTTGATCGTCGATTTCCTCGAGCGGACGCCAGTAACGTCTCCAATCGTCTTTGTCACGAGCTAGAGTGGTCCAGTGGATCGTCCTCGCTTCAGGACACAAGGCCCGGCATTCCTTTCACTCAAAGCTTTCGTGAAGAAGTCTGACCATCTCGTTGGCGGTCGTCCTGGTGTTCGCTTGACGTCTCGGGGGATCCAGTCAGTAATAACCCTGGTTCAACGGCCATCATTATATCGCATAACGTGTCCCTACCTGATCTCCATTTTCTTAGCGTAATTAAGGGCATCCCTGATCTTCGTTTGATGACGGAGCACGAAACTCCAGATTCCCTTCTGCACTTGCGTGTATAGGGCAATTCCGAGCATTGTCTTTTCCATATCGCGTTGAATAACGCTGACAGCGTGTTTGTCCTGCTTCCGTAGAGTCCAAGTTATTAGGCGTACGTCAAGGCAGGAAGGACAGCAAAGTCGAAAAGGTAAGTGCAGAGTCGGTTGTTCTTTTTCTTCTTCACTACTCCCTCAATATTCTTAAATGCTCCCCACGAGGCGTGTTTCCGTCTGCTCAGTTCCGGAGCTTGGTCTTTCATCATGTTGACTTCCCGAAGTAGATACAGGTAGCTAGAGTATTCACAGATATTCGTTCCGCTTAGCGTTCAAGAGGCATCAGGTACAAATCCGTTTCACATGGACATCGTCTGGACATTGTGAAACTCGGCCAGCATTCGTTTCGCCTGCTCAATGTTCGGTGTTATAAGTACGATGTCGAGGAGATGTAGATAGCGGCCGTCGACCCTCACTTTCGATTCTTCCAATTCCAAATGCGCATGATAATCTCGAGAGCGGCACTGAAAAGTTTGAGCAAATGGTATCGCCCTGCCGGACACCTCTCTTCACGTTGATAACGACTTCCTTGAAGAATGGCGGAATCCAGGTCCGGAATTATCGTGGGGCTCAAGACCTTACGTATTGGGTAGGAATACCCTGGTTGCCCAGGGCTTCAATCACCGCTTCTATCTCGACGGTATCAAAGGCTTTTTTCAAATCGATGAACGTAAGACACAACGCCTTTTTGTACTCTCGCGGTACTTCAATGGTTCTTACAACAGTTTGGGTGTGATCGATTGTAGTGAACCCTTTCAAAACCATGCTTGCTCGCATGGCTGTCCCTCATCTGGTTTTCACCAATCCAGTTGAGGATTACTCCTATGAAAATCTTGTAGATTACCGACAGTAGACAGATTGGGCGATAATTGCCAGTATCGTCTGGATCTCCGTTTTTATACAGCAACATAGTCTTCCTAATTTCCCCCGGCGTGGGCACTTTGCATTCCGACAGGTACCGCGTGAAGAGCCTAGCCAGAGTTCTGACGATAACTGGTACTTTTTCTCGGACACCTCATATGATAAGAAATTTCCTTGGCTGACTCGGTGATCCTCTCAGTACCTATCTGTACCATCGCAGACGCTGCTCTTCTCATATTCAGCTGGACGGAGGATACTTGCATGAACACTCTGACAGCTTCATTTCTAATCGGTTTAGTCGCGTCCAACTGCTGGTCCATACGAGCATTTTTATTCAGTGGTGTGGAGCTGTCCTTCGTGACATTCCTACTTACTGGCCAGCACTCGCTGCCGTAGATCATCTCGGGCCACATCGTTTTCCTGTATACCTTTCCTTTGAGCGTCCCAGAGCACCGACTGTAGCAATGGATACCGGTAGTCTCCCTCCACATCATCCATGCCGCGTTTATTCGGGATCTTACAGCCTGCTCCACGCTACCACCAGCGGTTAGATCACTCCCCGAGGATCAAAATCCTCTACCCTTCCGATGACTTCCCCAAGACCCTCAGCGATTGTACGCCGTACACTCCTCGGAGCTGAGGAGCTCGATCATCGGTAAGAAGCTCGGCGTTCGAGAAACAGAGAAGTTTGCCTTACGTCTCTCTCTTCTGACACCGAGCTTCTCAGCTGTAAAGGCCGTAAAAACACGAGGGTTCCATCTGGGAAACCCAAGTGAGATTAACCCATTGACGACCATGCAGTCCACATGTGGACTGCAGTTGTATTTTTTGTTTTATTCATCTATATTTCCATTTTTTTACAATTTTTCTTTTCAAAACATTACATCAGGTCTAGATGAAACCACATAAAGCGTGACCTTGGAAAATCTTCTAATCTTGCGATTGTAAAAGTGTTTTTTCGAAGGAGCACATTACCTTGGTGAATTTTTCGTTCGTTGAACAACTTCAAAAAATGAGAATTTTTGAAAAGACGATCGTTATTAGCATTTTGTCTGTCATCGACCAAATGCAGAGCTCGTAAAAGTTGCCCCAAAACGATTTCTGGTAATGATTAAAGTCATAATTGAATGACCACTGGACTGAGTGCCGGTTCTATAAAAAAAAATAATCACTCTGTGTGGGCATTCTTTTCAAACCCATTCGAAGGAACATTCCGAAAACTTATAAATATCTCTTATAAACTTCAAAAAAATGGTCATGCTGGACCATGAGAGTGNGGTCTTTAAGGGACTGACCTGTCGTGATGTCAGGAGAGTCTCTTAGTCTTCTTGTGGTGGTTCAGTGTATAACTCCAAAATAGCCGATTTCCTTGCGCCAACACGATAGCACGGTAAAATATCACCAATTTATTGCAGCGTGGAACTCGAACAGTTCGACCTCAAACTTGGGTAATTAAACCGCAGATATACATATACATAGAAGCCACAAGACTCAGACGAAGAAGTATAGAGTGGCACAACGATAATGTCAGGACTGAGATTGGCGCCAGCTTGGTTCTGAGGTCCTTTATATTGAGGAGTGACAGTCACACGTGCGCCGTCCATAGCCAGCTGCCAAGGTACTTCTGTATGGTACTTTCACCGACATTCCAAGGAAGAGCACATCTGGACGTCCTCTTCTTCTGATTGCGTAGAGCCTTTTCTGTGTCAAAGAAAACTACAGCTGGTTCATGATAAGAGTGATGTCAGTAACATACATGTATATAAATACACTTTTTTCTCGTCTCACCCAAATCTCAGCTACTCGCGGGTTGCCGCGATAAGGTCCGCGAGCAACAGGAAAGATGAGACCTGAGAGACCGACGCAGTACGGCCTTATGACATGCAGGTCTGCAGTGAATACCATCTACAAAGCCTGATACGTGATGGAGAAGTGTCGAGAAAAGAGTGACACTGCTACCCAGCCCTCCTCGACGCGGAAAAGGCGTTCGACCGTTCATCACACTCCAAAAACTCTTCGTAGGTTTTCTTGGGAAAGTCATCGTAAGAGTGTGGTACTTCCAACGTCTGGGGAATCACTCGACTATTGACGGTAGCGAGGACGAGGTTGTGAAGGCTTGAATAAACACGGCATGGATGAAATGGAGGTAGTTCAGTGGAATCCTCTGTGTCCAGTAACGAGGTCCGCGATACTGTTACGGCAACGAGAGCTAGCCCTCATAGAAGGATGGTGAGAGGCAACTTCACTCAACAGAGTTGAGAAAGTTGAGGTAATCCTGCAGTTTGATGTGAGTGGGCCGGATCAGAAACGTGGTGCTCGGGGAGACCATGCAATGAGCCCTCCGCGATGGTATGTGCCCGTACTGAGCAGGTCACCAAATCACATAACAAAAAAGTAATGGAATTCCAAGCTAAAGGGAAGCAATCGCGTGGAACTTCAAAGACGTGGTGGCAAGGTGTTATCAAGCAAGACCGCGTCTGATCCGAGTTCAGAGCAGAAGCCGCAGATAGAGAGAAATGGAGCGATCACAAAGAGCAGCGGAAGTTATGATTGGGAGAAGAAGTACTAAAATTGAAGACTGTTTACTCCATCGGTCGGTTGATCTCTGCAAGCCATTGTCCTAGACGACAACGCCTCCAAACGCCACTACAATTATTAATGAAATCGAACACACAACCGCATTCTAAGACGAGATTTTCAGTGCAGTTCAGTAGAAATGAGTAATTCTTAAAACATTTGAAGTAGTTATGTCAATCTACTGCAGGAAGTTATGAAGAAGGAATGCTTTTCATGAAATAGCTCGGGCACGGACGATAAGCCAAAACTGCAGACGGTGAGCTCACCATGGAAAATTTTCGCCAAGATCAACGTATACTCTTCATCTTAGTCCAGAAACATTATTTCTAACCCCATGAGTAATTTTCCTCTTGTATATTTTGATTGCATCGGGGATGTCAACATCCTTTGTGTACCTACATATACGAACATCGTATGGGACAAGGAAAATTAGGGACACATTCCCATGAGATTTATCACCTTGAAAGATCTCGATCTGGGAGAAAGCGGTGTTGTTTAACTCTCCAGGGCCACACACGAAGGATCTCATGACACTTCTCTTCTTTCTCAAATCAATTAATCTTGATTGAAAGGAGGAAATTCCACTCGAATCGCATTAAAGGCAATTTGTTGGAATCAGAGATTTTTGAGCCTTTCAAGGCAAGTTCTGAAAGCAATTTTCCACTCGAAAACTGATACCGTAACTAAAGCACAACTATTTATTACTGAAGTAATCACAAAATGTCATGAGCTCGTTATTAAGGTCACACAATGGGTTAGTAAGGCGAAAATCACATATAAAAAGCAATCAGCGATCCGGTACTATGTCAATCATAGGTATCGATCGATAACGGTACAAATATTGCATAGCACATTAAAACCTTTATTATTATTATTAGTTAGGGGTTAGAAATAAATACATTCAAGCGTTAATAAACAGCAAATAGTTGGGGGTTAGTTATCGATAGCCAATTGTAATAGCGGGGCGATACGTTTCTCGGGTCCTGTAAAGCAAAGATCTTGACAGTTCTGCTCGTACTGTATCGGCTGTTCATCCATTTCTTCGGTGGGAGAGCATCTCGGATAGTGGTACGGTATACAGACGTCGGATCCGCGCTGCAATTCAAAAAGGTATAAAACCAAACGCTTTGATAGCTCGGAATAGGCCGCATACTTTGAATCTGCTCAGAATTGTAACGACATTTTTGGGAGTGTTTATGTATTTTCTGATTGCCCTATTAAATGAATTTTGTTGAATGAAAGTAAAAACCAGTGTTTCCTCCCAAGTTGCACCTAGCCTAGTTGCAAACTGCAAGGGTTGGATAATAGGTGATAAACCAAACCCTGGATCAACTCAGTAGTATACATGCGGTACCACATTTACTCATCCCGGCCAATGCCGTTGCATTCTTTTTCTACGAAATTGAAAAAAAAAGATAAAAGAAAAAAAGGATTTTGAAGCAAAAAACTAAGCACATATGAAATTCGTTTTTGCTTACTGGTCTATAGTAACGTTTGATAGGTTTCGGCTGTGAACCATCGGCACATTCTGTTCGAGTAACCTTACAGCATCGTCGGTTTTCTAGACCTGAAATACAGCTGTTTTACTGTTACGCATAGAATGGATACTTGGAACACTTTCAAGCTTAGTTTTGCAGTTTGCTGATTCAAAAATGAATATTCGTAACTGGAACTACTATGGAGCCTTCAGAGTCGATAACTGCTATCTTTTACTATTATATCTACGGCTCTACAGCGACCGTCTCCGCGGAGATACACAAGGTACGCATTTATTAACCAGTAATAGGTTTTGGTGTTCGAACAAGACACAGTTTTTGAATGTTTCATCTGGTGATTGCCTCGTTTTTCTTTATTTTCTTCATTTTCATTTTCATTTTCAGTTTTTTCTTTTGTAGTTTGCATTTTTTTCATCTTGTCGTCGTTTTCGTGCTTGTCTCGTTGTCTTTTTGTATACGTATACAACACTCGCAATTGGTCCGTCCTTACAACCACCAATCACAAGTCAATCTCGCTGTTTTCGAGACCTTGTTCGTTAAGTGATCAAATGATCAATTTTTGCGACGGAGAACTCAAAGAGTCTTCAATTATCGAAAAAAAACATAAAACAATTAGTAATAGGGGTGGAATAAAGGGCTTAAGGTGAGCTGTAGAGATGCTTTATTCGTTGATGCTGCCAAATTTCCCCCAAGGAGATGAGCTCAGAACTGTCAACCCTTGGTATTCAAAAACCTTTTTTTTTCTTGGAAATTTCCTTTGAAAGGCCATGAGGCTCAGAATTACGGGCTCAGATTGCTTTGTTAGTAAGTCCCCAAATCTTCGCTTTTATCTTTTTTTTTTCGAATAACCAAAAAAACTTAGCTGTTTTCTAATCAATGTTCTACTTCGTATAGTACTAATTGGTCGGATCTATTGGTGAAAGAAGGGTGGTTCTGCTTGCTGCAAACGCCTTTTTTCCAAAAGGCGGAGTTCTATTACTCAAGCTCGGTGGTCTGTGAACCTTTCCTCGAAAACTAACCCTTTTTTGAAACGCAACTGCAGCTGAAACATCCTGCACACCATCCATTATTAATATTTATGAAACCAGTAATTATTGTTATTTATAACATGCCTTATTCTACACTGTGAAAAGGAAAGGAGGACAAGACTCAGGGCCCTATAATAATCTACAATTTACGATCTTACGCTCAATCATTAGATACTACCACCTCTATCTCAGTTCCCTTTCCCCATCTCTTGACTAAGGATTCTTCTCGGACCCTCCCTTGCTAAGTGATTTGCGAGGTTAGGGGCCCAAGGGATTTTAAAGACTGTTTTAGTACCGTAATTCGACATATGTAGCTACTGGTAACTTGAAGGCTACGTGGTGCCCCCAACCTTCCTTATCGGATCCTTGGCTCAGATTTCAGGGGGAGATATTTGAAGAACCAGACCCCCTACACACGAACGTACGTACGTCGTGTGTCACATTTATCACGAAATGTCACTTAATGGAACGGTTGTCTCTTAAAATCTCAATCGGCCATTAAAGAACGGTCGTACAAGGTGGCCATTAAACGTTGCCGACACGGTCATAAAGTGGTCAAAGTACGAAGGTGAAATTTTGGAAGCCGTTTTTCTATCGCCGTTCGAATGTCCTTCGAAGGAAACCAGAGCCTTTCATATGGAAAGCGATGATACATGGAAAATCCGTTCATATGGAAATGCGGCGTTCTTGTTTCTCGCATAAAAAAGCAACCGATTTGTGCAGATTTAGTGGACAGAAATTTGTTCAAATTAATTTTTTGCCCGCCAGTTCTACATAAGCGGTTGTCTTCTAGAACATGGACGTGCCCGGAAGAGGTTCATGGGAGGTTTTCTCCAGGAAAACATTCTGACAGCTGTAGTGTGGCAATGATAAGGTTTCCGTCCTGAGTAAGAATGGAGCTGCTTCACTCAAGAGAAATGAATTAATAATTCAAAATTGAAATAAATCGTGAAGGATAAAGTTCCGAGGCGGGAATCGATCCTTTTTTGGGATGCGCCCCGCATTCGACTTCTGTACAGAATCGTTATGGCGTTTGAATGTGTATATGGCCTATGCAATGGCTTGCGATAAGGAGCCTATGTACAAGTCAGTGTTATGCTTCCAGACGAGTTTGGTACCAATCAGTCGACCACGGGGGTTGGTAGGCTAGGCTAGCCCGGGCGGATATCGGTCCGGGGTTTTGAACCCATGACCATGCGTGTGTGAAGTGCGCCGCTCGCCACTACACCATCTCCGCCCGATTGGTTGTGAATAAAAAATATTTTTTTTATTAATATAACGTTGCTTATAGCATATACTGTTTGATCTGTCTATTTTAATATTAATCGCTTCAGGTTTTGAAAAAAAGTTTGAGCAGCGAAAATTCCCCGTTTCACGTGTTTGGTATAAGTAGCGTTCAGAAATCCTTTCCAGTAGGTGAAGAATACTCGTAAATGTGGGTAACATGTTTGCGAGAAATATAAAGGGATAAAATACTCCGTCATTACTACGTAGTAATCGTCTTGTGAGGTGTGAAGTAAACTGCAAAAGTACGATGAAAGTAAAATATATAAAACTCTCAATGTTCATGGATCCCTTCCGGGATCTCGCTACGCATTTCAGTAGAGCGCAGAATCGTGGCGGCAGGGTTCGATCCGCGATCACATCTACGAACCCTAAGTGTGATAGCATCGACTTTCACCTTTGCCCTACCCAAAAGTGAGGTGTTCTACGTATGACTGACTTCGATGATTGATTTCTAATAATGACCTTTTTTGCTATCGCTGCTGGCTTGTTTCGGACCGAGACGTACTTGGTCTCACTGAATTTGACAAATTTCATTCAAAAAATCGGCACCATGTCGCACTTAGTAACTAGTTTCTGACTTTTCGTTTTTTTTTCGAAACCTACTTCCAGGGTACTGTGACCTTCTACCAGTTGTACAGGATTCGATGCTATAATTGCTACGCGCATTTCTTCTAACAGAGACTGAAATGGTACTGGGTCAGTAACAAGACCCATTCCCATCGTAGGCCTCAGGGGATACTATCTAATGTAATCACTGGATTTCGAAAAGGTCCTGTAGCAGGGATCTCAGTCCCCACGAAACATGCTGCGATTATT